CCAAAATTCACATACATACACACACACACACACATACACACTCATACACTCACACATTCACATTTACATATAGATACATGAAAAAGTAGAACATGAGGAAAAAGCATTAAAAGTTTACTCCAATGTAAACACATATTTTTAATTGTCTATCACTTGAATCTTCATTTGAATCAGTATTTTTTGAGACCAGAAATGTTCATTTGAATTCTATATTGTCATGGACTAATTGACGTCTGTCCTGACACTTTTGATTTGTTGATTTTGTACTGTGTGAAGTAATTACATTGATTAGAATTAGATCTGATAAAAATACAAATTAGAGAAGTAAACTGCGCTTGCTTTTTGTCTGAGAGACATTAGCAACAGCATGAATAGAAATTGTGTTACAGTAGAATCAAAGTGACTTAACCATAGAGAGTAACTACTGCATTACAAGCTGTGTACAGGAACTGAGACACTGCACCATTGACCAGAAGTGCATCGCAAATGACCTGATGTGCTTCAAGTGAAAAGACTGTATCTGGAGATCTGATGTGCATCTGGAGACCAGAACCAGAACCATGGCTTGGACCCTACTGATGTCCAAGATGACCTGACCTGATGACGACTGAGACTCACCCTCAGGGGACCCTGGGGACCTGAGGACCTGAGAGAAAAAACTGGGGAGTGATGTTTATATTTTTGAAATCATACATTGATGAGTGCTAAATGAGACAGATACTCATGATTCTTTCTTTTGTTTTTGTTTGTCCCTAGCTTCTGGACATCTGATGATCTATTGGACACAGCCATTTGCAGAACAAGAACCAGCCAATGAAAACGTCTATTGCCGATGCTATTGCTACAACCAGAACCTGTGACCAAATGCAATATAAATGTTAAGTATTCAGACATCTGACAGACAAAAACTTTGACTTTTTTTGTCTGGGAGACTGAGCAACTGTTAAAATGTTTTAAAATGATAAAGTATGAGTATTGTAGCGTTTTAGTAGATGTTAAATAGTAGTAAAAAAGTAGAATTGTCCTTTCTTTGTTGTTCATAAACACATTTCCACATAAGAGTTAAAATAGTACCCTACAATGTTATCCTTTTGATAGATCAGCTAGAATATTAGAATCAGAGTTATGTTAGAGACATTAAAAGTGACAGAAGTCACAAATTAGAAATATGCCTTTGCTCAAACTGCAGCCAAACTTTGGAGTCACAATAGTGTAAAAATAGAGATAAATAGATGCATCAACCATAGATGCTTTCAAAAATAGAGATTATTTGTAGCCAGTGCTAATATTTGAATGGTAAAGGGACCATTTCACAAGCATTTACTTCAAAAGTAGATAAAGTTACTTACAGTTTATGTACAGTTTTATTAGATACTTGTCAAATTCACTTGTGTTCAAACATGAGTGAATGTTGACAATGCAAAAAGTTCATATGAGTGTAGCCTAGATTAATGCCTAGATCAATGAGATAGATTAGAACCAACAGAGATTCAAAAGCATTTAAAAGCATTTTGATGTATTTGTGTATAGCACAAAAACAAAATAGTAGATATTTGGATATCTTTGAGAAGTTTCCAGCACAAACACCATTGTAGAATAACTGACCCCAACCCCAAACCTAATTAGCTACTATTAGGATAATACTAATTTGATTAATGATGTACATTCATCCCAAACTGCCTGACAATAATATCTTTAGATAATAAAAAGTAATAAATCACTGACCACTATAGAAGTGTAAATGTTGACCATTTGCCTTACTGTGTTCACAGTTTTATTCCTGAGAATGAGAATAGACATGGAGCAAAATCCCACTGATAATAAGCCACTGATAATTAGAGTGTAAACCACAGAACAGAGAGATTTATGTGAATAGATTAGAATAGTTTTAAACTATAGTGATAATGAAAGTAAAGTACACAGTCTAAGATTGAAAAGTGAAAATAATACAGTGAAATAAGTGTAGTGTAAACAATTAGCATTAGAATAAAAGTATAGAGTAATAAAAGTGAAATTAGCTTCAAATTTGAGACTCAGCTCGTTTTTGTCTGTGTTTTGACTGAATCTGCTGAGTTCTTGTGTGTCCAATAGTGTTTGTTTGTTTTTATTTTTGATTTATTTTTGTTTGTTTGTTTTTTTTCCAGGATAGAGGATAAAATCCACTGATATTGATTTGATGATTATGAGTTTAATGCATACATTTTCTTTGTTTTTAATAATTTTTTAAAGTTTTTTTGGGAATTTTTTTTTCTTTTTCCACTTTATTGATTGATCGATTTGAGTGATCACATGTGATTATGTGATCAAAGGGGAGGGTATTAGTATTAGATAGCAATATGGCCTACGTGCAGGACTGTACAAGGACTCTACAAGGACTCCATGTTATGACTATGATGTGACTGTCTCTTTGTGACACGTATGTCTTTCGATGTGTGACGTGACAATGACTATATAAACTGTGTACTGCCTTTATTCTGTCTGAGAGAAAGAAACAGAGTAAAACAGTGGAACTTGAGAGAAACTTAAATAAACTTCCAGAGTTTGGCACACCACGATCCGTCTCTGTCTGGTTAAATCCTGACAGTAGATTAATTGTTGCAACAACCCCACCCTATTTTAGTATGATATGTTAGTTTAGGGAACTGTCCTGCAGGCAAACAGGTATAAGACAGGCCAAGGTGCCATTTAATTAAATTGCATTTATTTTTATCCATTGATCAAACAAACAGATTACAAAACTTGCAATTGAAATAGACTATTTTAAAATAATTAGTTCCCAAAGACACACACGAGCAACACTCGCGCCTGACAGACAAGAATCAGGGAGAATACAGTGCGCGCCTAACAGACAAGAACCAGGGAAAATACAGTGCGCAGAGCGCTGAGTATGTGAACGGAGCATGGATGTATGGAACGGAGCAATCGCTTGCTGCCTTTATTATAATAGCTAGATCCATGCTTGCAGCCCGTGCAAAGCTTGCACTCACTCACAGCCGCTAACAACAACCAGAGCGGCCACGGAGGAGGCCATCTCACACGCAGCATTCTGAGTGATATTCTTATGGATAAATGGGCGGGTATTTAAAAAAAATAACGCGTTAATAAAAAATTTAATTAACGTGAGTCAAAACGATAATTTTGACAGCCTTAATATATACACAAACGGTTGTTGGTGTTATCATCACTCTCTTTACACAACCAAAACATGGGGACTTCACAAACTGAATGCGCATTTCGCGCATGCGCAAAACGCAACGAAATACTTTGCCTCAAGTCGACGGTGCGGTCTGGAACGTGAAGAGAGGACTCTTTCGAATGTACGGTAAGTGTTAAGACACGTTGTTCATTTTTATAAAGGTATAAAGCTAAAGAAGTGTGTTAAGAACGAGTATACATTCGACTATATTATCTTATAAAACTCGTGTGTTCGACCAGCTCAGCGGTGAATGCAGTGACTGTGGCCGTGTTCAGAGCCGCTCTCCCGGAGGCCTGAGAGCGCTCTGTCCGGCCTCCGGGAGTTTACTGAGGACAGCGGTGAATGTAGCTGTTAGTAGCTAACTGTAGCCATGTTCAGAGCCATATTCCCGGCCCTAACTACGCGGCCCAGCTCCAAACTGGGCAATGATTTCGTTGAAGCATTGGATTGCCTAACGACACAGTTCATCAAGCTCTTTAAGGTCAAAAGGGGGTCTGCTGGCGCTAAGCTTTCCAAGATTGTCCGGCACCTCGATTCCTGTGTAAGTTCATAAAGCAATAACAAAAAGAAATGACATATGATTGTGTTTGGTGTTGAAATGCACATATGTACAGCAGAGGAGATGGAGAAAGGAGAAAGGTACACATCAAAAGAGGTCCTGCTGCATTTTGTATCATAAGATTTTTGGTACAATTGTAGATTGTCATTTTACATTTTCCACGTGTTTGTAGATGGTGGAACTGCAGGAAAACCCTGGTGACCGAGAGATCCTTAAAGATTATAATTCTGTGAGATCACTAAGTCACCGCTCTCGAAGACAACTTGTCGACCTTCTCGTCAGTGACATGAGTGAAACACATGGGTATGTTGTATCCCTCAGTTATTACTCAAAAGTTCCTTCTTACAAGTGGAAGGATATTTACTCAAAATAAAATGAAAATCACTTGAAAGACCTTTCACAATAATCACGTAACAATTCAGTTTCTCTCAGCACTGTTATTGATTCCCCATTGTAAGATAAATAGTACTGATCTCTTTTATAAATGACCTAGGTAGATGTTCTCCTGTAGATTATCTCTTGGTTTGGTCCCCGTGAAAATATGTACTTGTAGATACTATTAATTTAGCCTTTTTATGTAACCATGAAGTCCTTTGACCATGAGTGTTTTTCTTTCCTTAGACAAATGCCTTCCCGAAAACAAAAAGAAAGCTATGCTCTTAGAATTATCACACAGAAAATGGATCATGGAAGGATCCATTTTCTCAAAAAGGTTATGTAAGTATTGTTAATGTATCCATGGAAATGGAATTTGGTTTATCTACACATGTTTTGTGTAGATAATGGATATGTATAGATACTAATCATAACTGTACACTTTGTTTTCAGACTAATCTCGCCTCGTAATGAGACGGTGACCTCCTATTTGCTTAACACAATATCTGCAATACAATGTGAACAATAAGTCCACATTTCCACGATGTTGATAAAGACGACATTGTGTGTAAGTGTTTTACTGTTTCTCCCTTTAACCTGGTTTTAAACATTGTCAGAGAGGAGCTGTCACTTTAGCTGTGCTACAACTGAGGTATTTTATATTTATCTTTGTTAATGTACTGTGATTATTTATTTTAATGCTTTCTTATTTTGCTCAGCACTTCGAGTTGCCTTGTGTATGAATTGTGCTAGACAAATAAACTTGCCTTACCATCGTACTTCCTGGTTCTGGTCAGGACTTGAGCTGCTGCATTTTGAATGTACTGCAGCTGTTGTGGCACAGTAGTCTAACCTACTGGAGACAAATGCATGGATAAGAATCTCCAGGTCTGCTTTAGACACTATGTTTAGATGGGGAAAAAGGATTTGATTTGGCTAATAATATTTACTGATTCTTTCAGCCGCTGGAATCGAGACCGAGTGTGCTAGAAAGTGACAAAGTGGAACTCTGGAAGTCCGCCACGGTAGACCTAATGTCCAATGAAGAAGAAGGCGTTGTGGACGGTGTCTCTGGATGGATTGTGCAGTCGCAGTCTTTTTTCGAAAGCCGGAGTTTTCTGAACTCTGTCAAGCTGCAGTCCTGGTTAGAGGCGGCGCGGAAGTACAGAGCCACGCACATTAAGCGTCTATCTAGAACCCTGCCAAATTACAACCCCGAGGAGGCTATTGGACAGTTCAGAGTTGTAATTTTTTAATTACCTATGTGTGAGTAGGGCTGGGCGATTAATCGATTTTAATCATTGATTCGAGTTTTACGTTTAGGGCGATTTCTTTTTTTTAAAATTCGATTTTTATTTTCTCCATCGCAGAACTACAGCGCTAACCGCGGGTCTATGGTGTTGAGCAGTCATTTTGAAGCTAACCTAATGCTAACAGTCTCCCTCTGGCCTGATGCTCGCTCTCACAGTTGGTGCTGTTGCAATAACACTTCAAACGTTCAAGAATCAGACTTTATTTAAATCGCCAGAACACACACACACACGCACGCAAGCTCCGGTCGCTATGTTTGTACGCCATGTTCGTACGCCACATCTTTCACGCTCTCTCACGCTCGTTATTCCAAAGCGCACTCCCGTGTCCGTGGCGCGCACACACTCGTGTCCCACTGAGCCGCTGCACTTTGGGGAAAGACACGTCTCACACATTGCTCTGATACAAACAACGTGTTCCCCGCTGTCTGTTAGCTACAGTAGCTGCTACAGTAGCTGCTAGCTACAGTAGCTGCTAGCTACAGTAGCTGTTAGCTACAGCATCAGAATGTAAACAGGAAGCTCGCACAATGCGGGAGTCACTGAAGTTAGTATTAGCGCCACCAGCTGGACCGAGCGTTGTACTACAGCACAGTTACTCAGGCACAGTTGAAAGAACAAGCATGAAAACCCGAGGAGGCTTTTGGAAAAGACTGTCTCTTACAACATTTCTATTTTGAGTAATCAGTTTTAAAAATGTGATATTTCATGTAAATAATGCATGTGTTTAATAGGATTGATATATTTGCGATGGGCCTTGTTTGTGTGATTTAAGTTATTTTGAAGGTGCATAGTGTCATTGTAAGTCAAGTTATTATAAAACTGTTAAGCTACATTTTCACTGTTTACAATGGCAGAGCCATCTCGTTTACAAGCATGTTTTAAGGCTTAATTCCTGTTACACTTATGCTCCATGGGGATTTAGATTAAACTGCATAAAGGAATATCTATTTCTTTGTCAGTTGTAGTTTGTTTTTAAATAGAAAAAAATAAATCGATTAAAATCAAAAATCGGATTTGGTGTGAAAAAATCGGAGATTTTTTTTTTTTGCCATATCGCCCAGCCCTATGTGTGAGCATAAAGCTGTGTGTGTGTTTTAATAAAGCTTTCTTTGTATGAATGTAACCCATAATAAAATTCTGGTTTCCTCCCACTGTATTATTTTCATTCCTACCGCTCCTCGTTACCATAGTAACGCTAGTCTCGCGATACTCCGCGGGGCAGTCTCAAACGCAACTTCCAGTAGTCATAATCAGAGTTACTGCGGCTCCACCGGTAACTGGGTGGGATGCCAGACTGAGTTGGCTGCAGGTAGATGCGTATGATCATGTCTCGTTTGTCATTCATGTACTCATACCTTGTGTTCCTCAATCAGATGCCTCTGTCCTTACTGAGCACATTGTGTGTTTGTGTGCTCTGTATTCTGCAAGGTACCGGTGAGTCATGTTAACCGGCAGCTAGCCGATGCTAATGTTTTTATACTCACTGTGATAAACTGTGTGCTCAGATTGCCTTTGATAGAGTTTTTAAGTTAGCGACCTTAAAGTATATATTGTGTCCGATCAGTCACGCAAATATAACACAGATAGCTGCAGTATTACGTGTTTAATCATGTATGTTAATGGCGCTAGCAACAGCGGCGGCGCTAGAAGCAGTAGCGGTGCTAGCGGCGGCCATCTTGTGTATGTCATCCATGGGATTGTATTGATAATATGTGTATTCACCAGAGGCGTGGACTCGAGTCATGTGACTTGGACTCGAGTCATGATTTTGATGACTTTAGACTCGACTTGACCAAATATAAAAAGACTTGCAACTCGACTTGGACTTTAACATCAATGACTCTGACTTTCACTTGGACTTGCGCCAATTGACTTGCAAAGACTTGCGTAACCCGGGCCATTTTTACCTTTCTCCGCATCTCTCTTTCTATCTATGCCGTCTCTGAAGAAACAAAGCCTCGCGGTAGTTGTAGCGCTCGCGCGAGAGTTCGAACGTGAGTTCCAGGCAGTTCGCGCAGCAACACTTCCCTAAACAAGCGCACTGCATTCACCAGTGGGTGTGTTGTCTAGGGGAGCTGGAAATGAGCGAGCTGCAGGTATTTATCGCGACCTAACGTCATATTTTGTTCTACAAACCGTAATTGATATGCTTTCACTACAGGCGCCTCATACAATTGAATCGACGCAGTTGTCACACTGTGTGCCGTGTTTTAAAGAGGAACTGGTGAGTCAAACTAGCGCTAGCCTGCGCTGCTCTGTTGGCTATTTCTTATATTTTTCTGTGTGGGCGCCGAGGCCTATTATTATGAGTATGTTTTTGCTGTGCTCCTCCTGCTAAAGTTTGCATACATTAGATAGTTGTTTTGATTATGTGCACTAAGCTAGATTAATATTTGCACTATTGTTTATGGTTCATTGATATGAGAATCAGTGCTTTGACTGATTGAATTAATTTATATGAGACATTTTATTATGTAATGATATATTGGTAATTATGAGATATTGCTAATGCTGGTCCAGTTGATGGCGAGCTGCCCCAGGTCCAAAGCCTAGACCCCTCATACTACCCCTATTCTACAGTAGGACATTTGGAACAATAACCACTACGGACATTAAACTGATTATATAGATACAGGTCCTAGCCCAATACTCATATTCATATATGCTGCACTTGCTACTTCCCATTAAAAACCCCAAAGATAAAAAGTATGTTGACACGGACTGCTCTGATTTTATGTGTGGTCTGTGCATGTGTAACTGAGCCTGCATCTGGCACAACATAGTTTTGATTTACCAGCAGCCAACGACATGGAACAAACTGTTAGTCCATGGGTCAGAGACCAACGAGAATGCACCAGCAAAATGATTCCTAACATTATTTAGTTTGCCTACAAAAGTACGTGGAGACCAACAAGAAACAAATCGCGGTCAAAAAGACTCGAGAGGACTCGAAAGTCAAACTGTAGGACTTGGGACTGACTTGAGATTTGTTGGCCTTTGACTTGGACTCGACTCGGGACTTGCCTGTCTTGACTCGGGACTTGAGGGCAATGAATTGAGACTGACTTGTGACTTGCTAAACAATGACTTTGTCCCACCTCTGGTATTCACTGTAGTCTGTTGCATATTAAGAAATTATGATGTGTATTTAATGACAATGTGTTTACATTATGAAATGGTACCACTGATATTTTAGAGTTGAACTATTGTAATTATTACCAGGACAATGGACTAAAACACTGGTTTGCTTCACACAGGCCAGGTCCTCAATACTTTCTGGGCTTCAGGAGAGTACATCTTTATTTGATTCTGCGAATGTGGTAGGGGGCTCTGCAGCCACATAACTCACCCACTCACTTCCAACGCTTTTGGGGACAATATTCATACTCTGGACTAATTATTCAAACAAACTATCTCTGCTGCTTTTACACATGGACAATAACCCATCGCGTTGTGGATTACACTCTTGAGTTAGAGTTCTGGACTGTGGACCATACCTTATTCCGATCAACTACCAACAGTGCACTTTGTACATATTGTATATATTTCTGTATATTGCTTCACATGTACATATCATTCATCACAATACACAACCCATAATCGTATCCCTCGTATCTGTCTTTTATTAAGCATTGTCTCACTTTCCTCCAAGCCGAATCAGTTCTTCTTAGTTTATATTAATTGTTCTTCTCTAATCACGTGACGTACATGTTACATGAACATATTCCTGGAAAATTTTCATTTCTTCTATAAATAATACGAATATTTATATAAATATTATTACATTAATTATGAGGCAGGGTGACCAATAGTGACAGATCTGCCAGCCAATCACGAGAGATTATACTTATTTGAAAGTAGTGATTTCATCCAATGGGGAGTAAGCTACCAATGGGGAGTAATCCCACGTGGGCTGGCCACGTGTGATTTTTCAGCCAATCACGAGTTTGAAAGTAGTGGTATACATAGTTCCCACATGACGTCACTACATACGGGGATTTGCCGACCCGGCGCCATTTGTCTTGGCATTCTGTGGGTAAAACAATAGAAAAAGAAGCTGAAACGTGTTAATGTCGTGATAAAGTTGAAAATGGTCATCTCCTGCTGGGTCAATGGATGTTCAAATCGTGCCGGAGGTTCCGTTAAACTTGGATTTTACAGTATACCCATCATTAGACTTCATGAATGTGAGAAGACTAAGCTTTTGTCAGAACAACGACGGAGGTTATGGCTTGCGAAGATAAACAGGCAAGAAACTCCCTCAAAACACGCAAGAATATGCTCGGAGCACTTTGTGTCAGGTGCGTATCGTATCTTATAATGTGTTGACAGACGTAATTTACTCAGTACTAACTTGTGTATGCTGATATCTGGTAACTTGAGAGTTTCATTATTTAGCGTTAGATTACTTTATTATGAGGAGGATCGGTGTCGCGTCCGAGGCTCTCGAGGGCAACGTAAATGTATTAAATAGATAATAATAGTTCTATGGTGGGCTAAAACAATGTTCACAAACAGCATTGCTCCTGTAAAAAGATCTGTGTCATAAAATAAACTGCTCTTTACGCCTGGAAAAATCAGTTGCCCACCATTCACCAAAACATACGGTCAAAAACGCGGAAATAAACAATAACAGCAATCCAGAGTGTCCGTGTGGCATTAGCATTAATTAAATTAATTGTTAATATAATTAAAATAATTAAATGGAGCTCCAACTGGTATTAAATTTAAAGTTTTTGAGAAATGTTTGCATTGCTTGTTAATTTTTGCTGCATAATTTGATCAAATATGTAAAACATGTCCGTAGCACGTTAAACTGTGGTGCCATTGTATTAATATACAATTATTTGCTCAAAAGTTGCCCTTTTTTTCCAATTTGCGTTTGAATATCTACATTTATTCTCATTCTTCTGTTTAATGGAATGCACAAACACAGCCGCGTGCCATCAAAGATGGCGTCTCCGAGGAGGTCATGTGACATTCATTGGTCTGTGGGAACTATGTATTCACCAATGCTGAATAGCAGCCTGGCCAGCCGCTGCATTCATATGCTAATTAGGGCCATTAGCGCTCGCCGGCCGCAGTGTTTCGCTGCATTCATATGCAAAGTAGGGACATTAGCATGGTATGGATGCGGCAGTTTGGAGGACAGGGCACCCTAACTGCGCCTTCTGAAAACTGCCTGAGATACCCGAAAAAGAGCGTGATTTCCTGCAGTTTAGGGTGACGAAAATCTAACTTTTCATGCAGTGCTTTCTGTGGAGGGCGGGACATCGAAATGAAAACAATAACAAGATTTAGAGGATGGAAAAGTAATTTAGAAATTCAAATATCTCTGAACTACAGTTATCAGTTAAAGAAGTATTGGAAAAGAGCAGGTTTTATTAAGTGTTTGGACAGATTTGGGCCCTTTAATGATGACGTGACATGAAAACTTACATATTGCTACTTTAAGCATGATAAAGAATCAGGTATAACACCTCCAACTTCATACATGATTACGTAAGGGATAACGTATATTACGCAGGTCATTATCGGAAAATAAGTACCGACAGAAGGTTTATTTAATGACAGAAAATAAAATGGTTCCCAAAGGCTTTCCCGTGGCTATGCTAGCAACACTTAGGCTTGCAACTTCCAAACTAGAACTCTCTGGAACTGCATGAAAACTGAACAAAGAATTGTGAACGTCAGCGGTGAGTGACCCAAACATAAACCTAACCTAAATCCATAATTCGATCCTCTGCAAATGTGTCTGAAAATGTGCCGGTATCTACTTCCGGGTTTTTCGGGATCGCCTTTTCTCGCATTACATCGGTGTTTTTAACATGAAAACGGAAAATTCTGAAAACTTCCGTGCACTTGTATTAAGAATGTATATGCATAATGTACTCTCCGATTAACATTTCATGGCGTTGATTGATTGGTATTTGCGTTTAATGAGCGTGGCTAGCTCCGGAGTGGCCGGAACTACTTGCGGAGTTATCCACACATCTGAAATACAAGCAGAGAGTGCGTTGCCAAAGGGCAGCGGCCATTATTGTTTTGAGAGGTCCGTTATAGAAAATAATGACGTGTGAGGAGCCGTGTAATAATCATATATATATTTTTTTTATTTTCAAATGAAAAAAGTGCTGTAGTTGTAGCAGTAGAATACTTTCCCTCTGTGTTTTCCTGCAGTCATCCTCCAGACCCCTCACCAGCAGAGGCCCTTCCCCCGCGCTGGAGCCTCTCGCTGGGACACATCACTGGAGCGATCTCTGCGCCTGGTGTTTGGTGTCATCAAAATGCAGATGTTTTGGGAGCGCAGCAGTGGAAGAAGCCTCCTCCTCGGGCTCATCATGATCCGTGTCACTGATGGCTGCAGCCTCATTGACTTCAGTGGGACGCCACGGTGCCCGGCCCCCCGTGGCCCGCCCCCATCCGTCACACATCAGGCTTCCAGAGGCCACGGAAATGCCTGCACGCCGCTGAGAGCTGCTGGTGGGAGTTGCTTAAAACACTTATATTATAGGCAGAGTTTATTTGTATGGCAAAGTTTGTACACAAGGCGACTTAACGTACTGAACAAAACACATAAAAATAAACATTAAAGTCGCACGAGGCGTTACCATCACGAATAATAACAGTGAGTGGGCTGTTTTTAACATGGACTTGAACATTGTCAGAGAAGAAGTCTGTTTCACATTTTCAGCAAGACTGTTCCAGATTTTAGCAGCATGAATCTGAAACGCTGCCTCCTCATGTTTGGTTCTGACCCTGGGCACCAGCAGGAGGCCAGTCCCTGTGCTCCTCAGAGTCCCAGCAGGAGACCAGTCCCTATGCTCCTCAGAGTCCCAGCAGGAGGCCAGTCCCTGTGCTCCTCAGAGTCCCAGCAGGAGGCCGGTCCCTGTGCTCCTCAGAGTCCCAGCAGGAGGCCAGTCCCTGTGCTCCTCAGAGTCCCAGCAGGAGTCGTCCCTGTGCTCCTCAGAGTTGGTTCAGATGGCACTAACATGTCACAGATGTAGCAGAGAGGCAGTGAGTGGTAGCTCTGATTTCCCCCGACCCAGAAATGAACCAATGAAGGGGATGAAAATGAATGAATGTCAGTTTGGTGCGAGGTCGTGGAGAGACTTTAGAGCTGCTTTAAAGTCTATTCTCTGAGCCACAGGAAGTAACATAACAAATAAAATTATAAGAAATATATAAGAAATGGGCCTTTTTGAGGTTTTAACCATTTTCACAAAACTATTCCTCATAAATAAATATACCTGACAAAAACCATTGTACCGCAGGACGTCAGAGCCTCTGATGGTTTTGAATGAAAGTTTCAATAAATCATAATTACTTTCTGATGTTCTAAAATAGAATATATTAATCCACTTGATTCAGCACAGAGAGATAATCTCCACTTTCTCCTCTCCCCTCTTTCTCGTCTCTCACCTTTCTCTCTCCTCTCTCTCACTTCTCTCTTTTCTCTCTCCTCTCTTCTCTCTCTCTCTCCTCTCTTCTCTCTCACCTCTCTCTCCTCTATTCTCTCTCTCCTCGTTCCCCTCTCTCACCTCTCTATCCTCTCTCTCACTCCTCTCAACTCTCTCTCCTCTCTTCTCTCTCTCCTCTCTCCTCTCTCTCACCTCTCTATCTCTCTATCTCTCTCCTCAGTAATTGTTTCTGAGCTGTTTGCAAACTTCTGGTTTTAACTCTATGTATAATGTTGTAATTAGTGTGAATTGCGGCCCATGTTCCCATCACATATTGGATTGGTGGATCACAGTGTGTGGAGGAGAGACGGACATTTGGAGATGCTCTCAGTGAAGCGGGCCACAGCTGCACAGAACCATGAGCACAAACACAAAGAACCAGAGCTGCCTCAAAACCCACAGGTTTTACACATTCATTTAACTCACCTGCATTCATTGTTTTTCAGGTTTTGAATAAATCATTTAACCAACTACAAGCGCCAACCTTTTGAAGAATGGTCCATAATGAATCATAGCAGTTTGATACGTACCGGTCTGTTTGATACAGTTTTATTGACCTTTATTAAACCAAGTCCCACTGAGTTTCTCTGACTGAGGGGAGTCCTGGCCTCAGAGACAGGGACAGGTGTGGGTGTTCATGCTGAGTCCAACCTCTCTGAGCCGTGGCACATCTTATTGGTTATTAACTCATTGACTGCCATTGACGTATTTGTCTGAGACTGGTGATTTCTGTCAAACTTCTCTCTATTCGACGGAGGATTACAGGAGAACCAAACTAGCAAGAAACAAACTTATTTTTGCTGATGAAAGTAGACAATTCAGTCTTTCAGAATCTGGTTTCATATTTTACATAGTCATAGCACACAATATTCTGTGGGCCTTGAAAATCAGTGAAATCATCAAAAACGGCTGGTAGTCAATGAGTTAACAATCACAAACTGGTGGCACAACACCGGCTGAAACAGATACAAAAACCAAATAATGACTTTATTATATAAAAGAAAGCAAAAAGGCAAAGTCCTTCTTATCAAGGGTATTATACTGACGATTCTTTATAATCTTGTAATATCAACGGCACGGTGGCTGAGTAGATAGCACTCTCACTTCTCAGCAAGAAGGTCCTCCTCCGTTCACAGGAGACGCCAACCACACGGCTCTGAGGACCGCCGCTCCTCCTTTTCCTTTCCTCCTCTGAGCATTACCTGTGCTCCCCGACTGCAGTAGGGATTCTGGAAAGGTCGGGATGAACATCAACGGGAGGTGGAGGTTTGGTTGAAGTCGGTCCAGGATTCACATTCCAGAGACGCTTTGATGTGAGAGTGATCTGCGGCTGTAGGTCGGGATCGCAAATGCACCGTCTCTGATAAAATGCATCCACCGTGAGAGTCATGAGAGACAGGCTCCACAGCAGTGAGCATCAGAGAGCATCAGGCGAGCATCAGAGAGCATCAGAGAGCATCAGAAAGCATCAGAGAGCATCAGGCGAGCATCAGAGAGCATCAGAGAGCATCAGGTGAGCATCAGAGAGCATCAGAGAGCATCAGCAGAGAGCATCAGAGAGCATCTGAGCATCTAAAAAGAGCAGGGTTAGACCCGACTGATCTTAATAGTTTTAGGCCTATTTCAAAACTCCCGTTCCTGTCCAAGATCCTTGAGAAGGTGGTCTGTGAACAGCTTACGTTCTTCCTGGATCAAAATAACATCCATGAGCCGTTTCAGTCTGGTTTCCGTAAACAACACTCTACGGAAACGGCCTTGCTGAAAGTGTCCAGCGACATTATGATGTCTGCTGATTCTGGGAAGCGCACTGTTCTAGTTCTCTTGGATCTGTCCTCAGCATTCGACACCGTTGACCATCAGGTTCTGCTGAAAAGACTGAGGGATCAAGTAGGACTGTCGGGGGCAGTTCTACAGTGGTTCTCCTCATATTTTTCGGGGCGTAGCTTCAGTGTTACAGCTAACCAAATTAGGTCTGAGTCTGTGGGTTTGTTGTGTGGAGTGCCTCAAGGGTCCGTTTTGGGTCCTGTCTTATTTTTGTTGAATTTGATTCCTTTGGGAAAGATCATCCAAAGGTTCAGTGATGTTTCTTTCCACCTATTTGCTGACGATATCCAGCTTTACTGTTCCTTTAAGCCGTCTGAAATCCAGAAGCTAGACTCTCTGCTCCATTGTCTAATGGAAATAAAACAATGGCTCAGTGATAACTCTCTGCAGCTAAATGCAGACAAAACCGAAACACTGGTTATCGCACCTGATGATGCAATTCCGGGGATTAAACAGTACCTGGGTGACTTAGGCCAGTCAGCGAAGCCAAATCTTCGAAACTTGGGCGTTATCTTTGACAAAGACATGTCATTAGTCCAGCACTGTAAGCAGCTAACAAGGAACTGCTTCTTTCAACTAAGGAACATTTCTAAACTTAGGAATATGGTTGCACGTAATGATTTGGAGCTTATCATTCATGCATTTGTGTCTTCACGCTTAGACTATTGTAATAGTCTGTTTTCATGTCTAAATAAGAAGGAGCTCTCTCGACTGCAATTAGTGCAAAACTCTGCAGCGAGAATTCTGACCCGCACTAACAGGAGGACCCACATATCTCCTATTTTAAAACAACTTCATTGGTTGCCAGTGTCCTATAGGATCACGTTTAAAATTTTGGTTCTAGGTTTCAGAGCCTTGCGTGGTCAAGCTCCTTCTTACCTCAGTTTTCTGATCCAGCCTCACACCCCTGCTCGGGCTCTGAGGTCTATGGATCAAAATCTGCTAAAGGTTCCACGCACTTGTTTTCGTACAAGAGGTGACCGATCCTTCCAGGCTGTTGCTCCCAGGCTTTGGAACGATCTTCCGCCCTCTTTGCGCTCTACTGACTCTGTTGATACTTTTAAAAGCAATCTTAAGACTCATTTATTTGTTCAAGCCTTTAATTAGCTATTTTTGGGCTGATACGATTTCTGTGTTGTTTTGACCCTTTTTATATTGTATTTAATTTTGTGATGTTTTAAACTGTGTTGTGAAGCACTTTGTGGCCTTTGCCTGTGAAAGGTGCTATACAAATAAAGATTACTTACTTACTTACTTACATCAGAGAGCATCAGAGAGCATCAGAGAGCATCAGGCGAGCATCAGAGAGCATCAGAGAGCATCAGAGAGCATCAGAGCGCATCAGAGAGCATCAGAGAGCATCAGAGAGCATCAGGCGAGCATCAGAGAGCATCAGAGAGCATCAGAGAGCATCAGGTGAGCATCAGAGAGCATCAGCAGAGAGCATCAGAGAGCATCAGAGAGCATCAGGCGAGCATCAGGCGAGCATCAGAGAGCATCAGAGAGCATCAGAGCGCATCAGAGAGCATCAGAGAGCATCAGAGAGCATCAGGCGAGCATCAGAGAGCATCAGAGAGCATCAGGCGAGCATCAGAGAGCATCAGGCGAGCATCAGAGAGCATCAGAGAGCATCAGAGAGCATCAGGCGAGCATCAGAGAGCATCAGAGAGCATCAGGCGAGCATCAGGCGAGCATCAGAGAGCATCAGGCGAGCATCAGTGAGCATCAGAGAGCATCAGAGAGCATCAGAGAGCATCAGAGCGCATCAGAGAGCATCAGAGCGCATCAGAGAGCATCAGGCGAGCATCAGTGAGCATCAGAGAGCATCAGAGAGCATCAGAGAGCATCAGGCGAGCAGAGGCCGGACCTGCCACTTCCAACTTCATTCATCTGTGGACTGGAATAACGGGCCTTTCGTTACTGCAGTTTACTCTTATCACTATATCACCTATTCTTATTATGGCACATGGCTTGTTCATTTTCTAATTTCCAGAGATTGTGAAAAAATATACAATTCAAAAAGGAAAGTCCACATACAATATAACACAATCCCATTACGTATGTTTCTATTGGAAATGTAGTCTTTTCAAAGAGAAATGTGTTTCCCGTTGATTCTCCAGTTAAAATGACACCTACTGTATATAAACACTAGGACTACAGAATTCAGCCAGTAGGAAGTTCTGGTTCAGCTCTTACTTG